TGGATGGGGCAGGGAAGAAATCCAGGCGGGATTAACGCATCACCAGCCATTTAACGCCCAGGCGTGCCCAGAACATGGCCACGTCCTGCGCACTGCCCGCCACCACGCACACAGCCACTGCACATGCAAGTGGGGCGTCCATTAATTAATGAATTTGCTTTCCCTGTGCTAATATTGATTTTTTTTTTCTTCATTTTTGCAAATCCTAGTAAATGAGCTTCCTGGCAGGAATATTTGCCAAAAAGAAAGTTTTGGCCAAATGTTGCAGAATTTTGATGGGATGTAAAATGAGGGTTTAGATTCCAGAATGTATTAGCTAGAACCCAATTCCAGGGTTCATCTTGCCAAGAAAAATATGAAATATTATCTGGCCTGCTTGCAAACAAGCAGCAGACAAAATTATTTCCATCATTCTCATGCATGACTTAAAATTAAAACTACATAAAAGAGAACTGCAATCTCCAAGCAAAAAAAAGGCAATGGCTGTTGAATAGTTACTTGCTATATTTTATTTACCTGGCTCCAATGTACACTGTGACCTCTCATGATCTTGGCTTTGAACCAGGCTCAGGAGTTTCTGCTCTATGATACAGTGCTGTAACACCAGACTAAAAGAAATTCTTGTTTAATTATAGTGGTATGAAGAATCATCCGTGGCTGAGTGCTAGAATGTGAAGAAGGTTTCTCCTGGAGGAGAGAGGATTGCTCCAGCTAGTCAAGTGACTGCCCATCTCCTCCCTCAGCAAGAGGTAAAAGCAGTAGCAGGTCTTTGTGGTTCAGTGGCGAGGAGGGGGCCACAAGAATACAAGGCCTTGCCAAGCTTTGCTCAAAGCCTTGCGCGAGGAAGGCCAGCAATATCCCCGTGATGTTCAGATGGGAAGAAAGAAGCAACAGAGCTCCCAGCTAGAGGCAGACATGTTCAGGCTCTGAATGAGCCTCTGTTGTGTTTGATGTCATCAGAGTTATTTTAATTTTAAGCTAATTTTTTATATTGTCAGACTTAATATCATCAGTGTCACCACCACACCTATGTGCAGCAAGGCCATCACTGCAGCTACCACCATGGTCATGTGTGTCACTGCTGATAATTTAAGTCTGACATTAGAAAGATTAATTTATTATGAAAATGACCCTCAGGAGACTAGTTCAGGCACTGGATGAATCATATTTGAGAAATTGGATGTCTCATTGTTTCAGAAGTTCTAATTAACTTTTTTCTAACCATCAAAAGTAGTGGAGATGATAGATACATCATGGATGGCCACTTCATTCCAATGGCATGGCCACGGGGAGCCAGAAATCCCATTTACTGATCTGTGAGGACATGTGACATTGATGTTGGGCCTGTAGCAAAAGCGGGGCAAGGTGGGCTGTGAGCTGGGGACATTCACAAAGGGGAACACCTGGGAAGGGGTGGGACATTCCTCCGGAGCTTGCTCCGATGGAAAGCCATCCTTCCTCCCGCCTCACCATGGGCATTTGGAGAGCAGGGAGTGGTGCAAAGCTCCTACTTGGCCTGATGGAGGGAAAAAAACAGAAAATTTTTGTATGCTTTGTCATATTTGTAGTCAAAATCTTTCAGTCTCGTGAATTTTCACCAGGGAGGCTGAAAAAAAACGTATGTTGGGCAAATCCAGAACAAAGGATTTTGCAATCAATTTCCCATCATTTTCTGAAAAAGCCAAACTCTCAAATACAGTGTAAAGCTTGTCCAGTTCCTTGTGATATGTCAAATTCCATATAAGATCAAGTGCTTACAGCTGCATGTGATGGGAATCAGGGATCAGAATCAGAGAAAAGGTAATGTTTTTGTGCAGGCCTTGTGGTTATCGTGCCTAAATATGCAGATGTTCAGCAGAGAGCATCTCCTACCAGGGTCCATGAAGCAGCTTTCAGAACTAACCGCTTGCTATAGGGGTTGGTGATAGGGACAATGCTGAGCAGATAATGCTTAAATACTGTTTCAGCACTGGATTAATCGTGAGAATTGCCAGCTCTGTGCCGCCCTCCCAAGGTGGGCAGTCACTCATGGATTACCATAGATTCCTTTGGGATCTGTGAGTTTGCAGCACAGGTCTGGAGAAATTAGATGAAACTTATTTCTGAAATCTAACTTGTGTTTTCTGATAGCTTACCTGCTTTTCTTTCTTTCCCTGACATTATCATCCTCATTTCCCTCACCTTTTCTCCTGATGGTATCTCTTATCCACTATTTTATACAAATGCGATAATAAAAAGCTCTCAAGACATGGGAAGGTGTAGCTAGTCCCAACACAGTCTCCAATTAAGAATTTTTGCCACCTCAGCACTTTTGCATTCCTCTTTTGACTTGGTTTATATGCCCTGGCAGCTTCTCACTCGAGGCCTTTGTGTACCTCAGGCGTGCAGGGAAGGCTGAGACGTCTCTGAGCTGTGTTTGATGTGGGGTAACATGCTCACTTGCATCTGAGAGGTGGAGGAAGAGGAGAAAGAGAATATGATACSACCAACAGCATGAATTCATGCTGTTAGTGAGCTGGCAATAGATCAAAAGGAAAGAAAAAAATGTTTGTTTTGTTTTCTTGAGTTGTGCTTGTGAAGCAGGGTCGTGCAGTGCTTCCAAAACACCCTTCCTCCACTATATCCAATCTACGGCTTTGGGTGCTCAGATCTCTTCTGCCTCCTGGAGCAGGTGTATATTTTGCTGAAACAAGCCAGGCACCCTCATCCTGGGGTCAGCGTTTCTAACTGCCCAGACACGGTGCCGATGTTAACGACGGGTTTTGAGCAAGCTCTGCAGAGCCCGGCTGGGCGGGTGAGGAAAAGATCCTCCCTGCTCTTGCCCTCACTTCCCCTCYGGCCAGCTCCTCTCCTGCTGCCCTGGGCAGCCGTGCCGCTTGCTGCCTTGCTAGGCAGGCCCAGGCTCTGCCTTCAGCGTTTAYGCTTGAAAATGTCCTGACTGCTCTTGCCTGGAAACTTGGCACTCGTGAGGCTGGAGGACAGACTATTCACGGATTAGATTTTATGGAACAGATTTCTTGTTTGAAGGGGGAAAAAAAAGCTGCATCCAAAAAAAAAAGGCATTTGGTAGCATGTGTCAAATCCATCTGCACATGTAAAACATAGAAGGGAGGTGAAAACTGTTATTAAAATGTGAATGCCAAAATTCTGTGTTAAGGAGCGTCTCAGATGACCTGATTTCAGCAGGAAGCCCCACGCAGGCCCGGTTTGCTGCTCTCCATGCCCAGGAGCTGCCTGTTGCTCAGCGAGGGGGCCGTGGTCGCTGCCCGTGCAGGGCTGCTCGCACACCAGCCACGGCCAGCGGTGCCCCCGTCGCGGGCAGCGGTGCCCCCATCGCGGGCAGCAGTGCATGCAGGCCACGAGTGCCAAGGACCGCCRAGCTCGCCTGCTCGTGCGCTCCGAAGCACGGAAATCCCGAGTGTGCCCGCTCCCCAGTTATCTTCTCCTGCGGAATTCTGTCTGCATCTCCACATGGACTCATTCAATGGATGCTAAGATTCCTTGTCACCGAGAGCCGCTATCTGGAAAGATTATGGGCTCTTGGCTGCAGATGGGGGCCAGCTAGGATTTACTCAGAACTCAGTTGTTTTGGAAATTTGATTAATTCTTAATGTCAGTGTTACCATTAGTTTCAGTTTAAGCTGGGCATCTAGATTCTAGGTAAACCTGAGTGAGGGCCCCACATCTTTATACCTCAATCCCTGTGAAAGTCAGAGCTCTTAATATTACTGTGATGGGTGTCAGCATTAAGTTTCTGAATGGGTAGTTTATCTCGTAATTATCCTTTGATGGTTGTGCAGCCGGTCAGCTGCATGTGCTGCAGCCCCTTCCAACCRTGGGAGCGGACAGCAGGGATGTGGGTGCAGGGAAGCACCCGGCTTGGAGCCATCAGGGCACTGACACCTGCGCTTCATCTATCATCCCCTTCAACCTGCCTCAGCAGATGTTTGCTGGGAAGCGGTCTAACCTGCCCAATTTGTCTTTGCCTAATGGGAAGCAGGTAGCCTCAATTAAGGGATGATTAGGAAGTTCTCTAAAGAGCTACAGTAGTTGTAGTTGTTGCTGATGTGGTGGTCAGCACACACAGGACACAGCTGGTCCTGGGCACTGGGTGGAACCTGTACCATGTTTTGTCTCCAGTGCCTTGGCTTGTTGTCTGATTCCCTTTGGGTACACAGGAGGATGCTAAGAGTTACCTGGGGGTGACCTGAAATGAGGAGAGGCACCAGGGGCTTCTGGAAGATGTGGTGACAGCCACCTGTCACAGTGGTCTTAGCAGGCACAGGTGAGTTTTCCTTGGCTCTCTGCGCAGTGGTTCGCCCTGGGAACTGTCTTGGATGATTCTGGGAATAAATTGTGGCCAACGCTGCAACAGGAATTGAAGGAAAATGTTAACACCAACAAAACAATACATTTTTTTTTGGTCGTTTCTTGAAGCATGTCTAGTCAAGAAGTTTACAATAACAAAACTGAAGCTAATCCTAGCAAGGATGAGTCAAAGGCTMTTTATAAACAGCCTTGCAGATACCTGGTAGGTGCACACTTTCCTTGTTCACGCCAATTGCATATGCACAGGTTGTGCRTTAATGGGGTAAGCCACGTGTCTCCGGCCTGTGGATTTATCCTGTCCCACCCCTGTTAACCGGGGCTGTGCAGGAGTAGCCCGCCAAGCCCCCTGCCGCTGRTGGCTCCGGAGCCGGTGTCCGGTGGGAAGCTCCCCGGGGAGCCCCACTTCAAATGTGGGGCCAGGGTCAGCAGGCGCAGAGGGGAACCCTCTCGGGCCACGTCCCACCACACAGGCGTCTCCGGGAGGCAAAGGGTGTCGTCTCTCTTTCTTTTGAAAGAGTGAACGTGAAATAGTTGGAGACAGATGTAAAATGACACTTAAAAGCAATGTTGRAATGAAAGATTAATGTGTTCTCTCACATGCAAATACTCAAAACAGGATGCTTTGAAATCACAGAATTGTCTTGCTTAATGTTTTTTTAGGAAAAGTTTTTCAAGATTTGCCCATTTCTCAATGTTTGCTGTGGACGACGTTTTGGGCAGGAAAGTTTCTGCGGTAGGTTCGCAGGCCCTGGAAGCCCCGGAGCACCCGGCGCATTGCCCGGCACCGGCACAGCCATGGGCACAGCGGGCAGGAGGTGGCGAGAGGGGAGCCAGCGGCCTCGACTTAGTTAAGGTCCTCCCTTATTTGGAGGAGGTCTACGCAAATAAAAGGCACCAGGAAACTGCTGCTGCAATGAGGTGCACCCTTGGCGAGGGTCCTCACTGTGCCACAGCTTGGCTTCAACTACATCCCAAAGAAATGCAGCATTACTTGTGTTTTCCTCTCAGGCAGATGTGATTAATGACTGTCGCTTGGGCTGGGCTGAATTCGTTCCTACRACGGAGGGGGATGCACAGTCTGTGCCCCAGAAATCTTGCAATCAGAAGCTGTGCTGTGGGAGCACCATCATGCAAAACCATACTGGTAAGCCTCAATTATCAGCCTGCTTTCTGGAGAATTTTACTGCCTTGTCCTTCTTCTCAAAGTGTTTCTGTGTGCTTCTTTTTGTATTTCATGGAACAAGTCCTGGCAAGCAACAAGAGAGCTTTTGCCCCTTGCAGAGAAATAAAAGTTTTTTTTTTCTATTGCACTATTTTATGAGAGCATAAAATTTCATGACATTTATGGAAGTTTGTGTCATGAAGCAGATGGCTTGTTAGCCTTTATTTTATTTTACTAGGCTCATTTATACGTATGTAACATTAAATCTGTGTCCTCGGTGTGTGAATTATGCTAAGATGCTCCCTGGCGCTGCTGCCTGAGGAGCCTGTGCTGACYGTGCGGGTGTATCTACCTAGCCTGGGTTTGCCCTGGTGTCGYGGTGCTCCACGCCACGCAGCAGCCAAGGGGCCTAAGGGAGGAGAGCGACCAGGAAACGYCATCGCCCTTGGCCACCCTGTCAATGGTGTTGGAGCTGCCTTCTGCATGGTCCTCGCTGCAAGCGCCAGGGCAACCGCAAACTGCTCTGCAATCCGCCCGGCCAGCGGCTCCGGAGCGATGGGCTCCACACTGCGCGTCGCCTGCAATGTGTTCTCAAGGTGCTGGCTTGGGCATTGCAAACACATCTYTTTATTTGACCTTTTAGATGCTCTGTTGCCAAAGGCCCAGGAGCGCGGTGACAGCACATGTGCGGCAACTGCCTCCATGCTGATTTCCAGTGTTCGTTGGCTGCTGTGATGGTTTCCTCCTGTGTCCTTTTCCCTTTCCTTGGCCTGCAGGAGCCAGTCCACAGGTGCCTGTTACCAGCCTACCCACCTCTGCTCCCTGCGCACACCTGGCCGTGCTCCCGTTGGATCCGTGCCAGCCCCAAGCATGGATCTGGGCTCCCAGCACCTTTCCAGCAGTGCATGGGAGCCAGGCTCCTGTGTACAGGGGGACGCTGCTCCTGCCACCCTGAGCGCGGCTGCTTCCCTGCACGTGCCCCGCATGCCCCCAGCACAGAGCGGTGTGTGGAGAAGGGCTGACCTCGAGGTTTGTTTGCTTTCAGCRCTGCGGTAATGAGACCTTGGAAACTTTGGAGGGGGGAACGTTTGGAGAAAGAAGAAAAATGGAGAGAGTAGAAAAAGCTGCTAAAGCTTCTTCTGGGAGGAAGAAAACCTWGGCTCCGTTCTTCATTTTGACGCAATTTTCAATCTTGCTTCTGAATTTTATTCCAGGCCAAGACCCTAATTACAAGCTTGCAGCATTAGGAAGATGCCAGCTCCCCTGGAGAAGGAGCTGCTAATTGGGCGGGCGAGACGCTGCCCGTGCGTGGTTTAGCCGCTCGCCCAGGAATGTGCAGGGTGCTCCCTGTCCCGTGATCTCCCCCTGCTTCCCAGGGCAGCAGCAGCACCAGGAATCCACGTTTTGGGGCACAGGTAGGTTCTGCTGAACATGATGCCATGGGCTCTTTCCTCCAGCCGCGGGAGGGAATGGGAGCTCTGGGCTGTGGTTGAGGTGTTTGGCCACGCCGCACTCGGGCTGACCCCCCTGCGCCACTTGTCCCGGCTGCCAGACACTGTGCCCGTCATTGCTCCAGCGGGTACGAGCAGGGCCGGATCTGCAGCGTGCCTGAGCCGGGACCAGTGCGTGCAGCATCCGAGAAGGTACCTCAGTGTCGCGGGGCGGCTGCTGCTGTTCGGGCTGCGTGGTGAACCCGGCTCCCCTTCCCACTCTGCAGCCCGAGAAGGACGGCAAGGGGCTTCTTATTTTGCTTCARCTTTCCAGTAGATTAAGCCTCGGTTTCTCACTTCACTGGTGAAACTTCAGGCAGCAAAACACTTGTTTCCTTGGACTCTAGGTAGATCTGGGTGTTTTAGCTGAGTGCTTTCAAAGCACCTGAACACCAATACGGTGACATAAGGCATCCGTTTGCCTCTAGGCAAGTGGTGGAGTGAGACTGGCTCGCACACAGTTTTCATTAAAACTTGCATTTCCCCATAAATATTGACGATGAATAACACTTACAGCTTCTGTTTGAGTTCTAAGGTAGGACTGGTATATATTTCTCCAACTATACCATTTTCTTATTGAAATGTATTATTCCTCTCACAAATCTTTCCATATTTGCTTCTTTTTGCCATCTTGGTGGCCAGACAGCTCTGCCAGTGCTGTAGGTAGTGACTGTACAAGTGCTGGTATGGTGATCGGTGGCCTGCATGGTTAAGTGCTGATTGGTCTGGACAGTGTCACTCTCTGGCATTTAATTTATCTTGCATTAAGTCTAGATGTAATATTTGCTTTTTTCCTGTCAGTGGAAACATTGCTTGCGCAAAGAGTACAGCCAAAATTTTTCTGAAATAAGTAATTAAGAGCCTCCATTAAAAAAAAAAAAATCAGAAATTGCATGTTGCAAATGCTGGAAGCTGGCTGCTCCCAGTGACCTGTGGTTTTGGAAGTCCTGACCAGCATGATTTTGGCTTTAGGCACATCTCAATTTGCACCATATCAGTTCGGTATCCAGGAACCAATATGCCTTTGATCGCTGAGCATTAAGCATCTCTACACAAATGTGTAGAAAACTCAGCCAAGAGAAAAATTGGTCCTTACACCAACTATAAAGAAGCTGTTGATTTACTTGCTTGTGTAGTAGCTCGAAGAACTTTGCCACAATCAATCTGAAGTGTTGAATGCATCGTGGCTGAAAATTGCGTTTTGGGCAACCATAGCAAGTGTTTCCACTCAAAAAGTACAACATCACAAACAAAGCAAGCAGAGGAGAGAAAGTGCCGTGGAGAAGCACTGARTTTATGAAGCAGACGGATAAAGCACCCTTTCCTAAAGATCTTGTAGGAGAATTATGGCGAACAGTAGTAAAGAACTAATAAGGCAAGGTCTGTAGCTGCCTTGAGTAGAATTTAATAGTTTTCATCGGTCTGCAAGATGAGACCTTAATGATGTGAGCGCGCAGCTGAGTTTCCCTGCGCTGATGTATCTCCGGACCCATGGGGACACTGCGGTGGCACGGAGCCGTGAGTGAGGGATCACCCGCGTCCCCCCTGGAGTCACCAATCCCTGTGCCGCTGCCTTGGGAGCAGCTTGGACTGTGCACGGCTTAACCCAGGCCACGCACACAGGATAGTACGGGGCTATTTCAGGAGTGTTTTGGCAAGGTGGACTTCTGCACCTCCCCACGCAAACAGGCAAAGTTCCCGGCCTTTTGGCAGGAGTAGGCACAGCATGGATAGAATATATCATCTCTGGGAATGTGTTTTGAGTAATTCTTATTTTGAAGGATAAGAGAAAGAAAACAGGTTTTAAATTATAGTTCTTTTAGCCAACTTCTTCTTCCTCTGTAACATCATAAATGTTTTCTTCTAACATAAAACAGCCTGCTAAGTGACATATATATATATATATAAACACATATAAAGAGGTGAAGTAACAAGTACGATGTCATAACTTGGCTGTCCCTCAAGGTGCTAATGTTAGAAGGATACAACTGATTTACACGTTACAAGGTTTTATTGAAAGGTTTCTTTGCAACTGTTATATCAACACCTGTGTTCGTGATGGCAGAAAGGAGACGAGGAAGGATTGATTTCTGCTGCAGGTTTCGAGTGTCCTTAATGCTGTGAATTTCCTGTTGTTTCTCGGTAAGACTCTTGCTGAACGTTATGCACATTGCACACCCTTGTAGCATCCAGCAGGCCCACGTTTATGACAAAATTAAGCATCCAGGGGACTGCCCTGCTGCTTTGGGGCCAAAGTCAGTATTTCCTCACTTTTAAAGATAACTTTACAGTGAAGATGGGAAGTGTGGGGGGTTTGTTTTGTTTTTCCCCATTTAGTAGGGAAATGGAATGATAAAACAAGTGACAGAGATCTTGTATGAATATTTTACGTGCAATGGAAAACATATTTGAACCTATTTTTTGCTAGAAGCTAGAAGTCAGCTTTACAAAATGGTTTTACTGAAGAACCCATCCACAATTGTCACCAAAAGCTGAAGCAAGTAGGAGAGAAAATTTAAGCAAGGCTTCTGCAGGGTCAAAGCTCTGCTCAGAAGGTTCAAAAGGGTCAAAGGAGATAACTACCGAAGCCAACAAAGTCGTTGATGTGTTCTTGCCTGCACTGATTAAATGTTTAACAACATAAAGTTATTAACACTTAATATTAAATTCCAATAACCTAATCAGCATTTTAAAACTTTGAACACATCATATGCATCAAATTTAACATCATAAAAGTCAATTTTGATGCTGTGGTTGCAATATTAAACCAACACCAGCTTTTGAATCTTACGTTGATCTCCATCCTTCAGCATGAAGAATTTGCACATAAAAATGTGCAAGAGATTCTGTTGGTTATTGGAAGTCCTGTAAAATGTTTGGTGCATCCTGTTACAGAACCAGCTCTGGGGGTGTCAAACCAGCYGCTGCTGACGGAACCAACCCAGGAATCTGCACGTGGATGCGCTGCCCTTGCCAGCGTGTGCTGGGGTTCTCCTGGCCCAGGGAGCCACTGTTGGAGCAAGGAAAGGGATGGACACCCGGAAGCAGCCTAGAACAGCACAGGTACTGACAGGAAGCAAGGGAGGACCAAGCTCATAGGTCCCTGCTTTGTGCCTACGCTGTGTAATTGCACTGAAACCCAGGTTTTCTTGGGCAAAGCAGCAAGGATTATTTGCAGGAACTGAGTGGCAGCCCGATAGTCCAGTGTGCTTTGCTCTGGAAGAGCATTTACGTCCCTCCAAGGACACATGTGCAGTGGGAGTGGTGCCGATGGTGCCTCAGCCACCAGGAAGCATCCCTGGGTTGAAAAGGAGCCATGAACAGTCTGCATTTCCCTGCTATTTTTGCTTGTTTATCTGGTCAGTGCCAGCCTAATTTGTGGGCAGCTTGTGCTTGTCTCAAGGTATTTGGATTTGATAATCTGATCAGTGCCAGTCCACTCTTGGCTTCTCCATCCACCTGCTGACTCCCTCGTGTTACCCTTCTGGTGCTCCATCCATCTGTTAAGAATTTAGTTACAAAGTGCATTAGAATAAATCACTGTGATTTTATGTGCAGAGGGATCTTGTCCCCAACACTTCAGAAATCCTAATAAATAATTGTGTCTGTTAGCAGCAGGACTGTAAAGTCTCGTATCTTACTGTTGGTGATTTACAGGGAATGCCCTAGTGCTCAGAAAAGAATGTGGGGTTCTTCAGAATTTATTTGATATTTGCTGTGAGGTCGTACCAGTGCTCAGACCTTGGACATGTGCTGAGCACTGTTCTCAAAGAAATATATTCAGATTGGGAATACAACTGCTTATGTTGAATTATTGCTGGAATGTAAAGAAGATCAAACCCCAGAGGACTCCAAGACAGCTAAGCTAAAATATAAGTCAATATTTTCAATTTTGTTCTAAGTTAATATTCCTGTTGCTTAATTAATCTTGATCTGCCAATATGTTAACACAGAGGAAGCTAAATGCCACTGAAATGTCATAAGGTTGAAGGGAAATGATCCCAGCTTGTGGTTACATTTTTTTTTTTCTGGAATTTTATTACTGTGAAAGATTAGCAAACCTTTGTGTTTATTTACTTGTGCCTTGTATCAGTTTCTCTTATACACAGTTCCTTAAAACTGTAATTGAGAGAAGGAACAGAGGGAATGCTGCTGCAAGCACAACCATAGAGGGATGGAGCAATCAGGTCCTGAAATTAAAGAAATTGTGTAAAATCAAGGTGTCTGTCGTCCTTGTCCCGCGGGACAGGTTCCAGCCCCGGCACTTTCCCTTGTGAGTCTCAGGGTTTTGGAGCTTTCTTCCCGGGAGCTGCTGCTGGATCAAGGGCCGTGCGTCACGGCGGCCGCACGTGGAGCCCGGGGATAGATGGGCCCCGGGACAGTGCAGAGCGCCCGGCTCCGTGTGCTGAGCTCACCGACCTTGAACCTGGGCTAAGGTCGGCAGCAATCCTAGCTCAGCTTGCGGCCTTGGGGATTTATGCACGAAACCCTGATGATCCTCTGGTAGATATGTCTGTAGCCAATGGGAGTGCTAAATAATTCAGATAATATATGTTAATGCTGATAAGCAAAAGCTCTGATGTGAAGAACACCTCCTCAACCACTAAATAGCAAAACTCTGCTGACTCCTGCAGTGTGTCTGCCCCATCATGTTGGTGAGAAACTTCCCTGAAGGAACTTGGGCGGCGGCAGCAGTAGATGGCCATGCCTGTCATGGGCACGTCCCCTGGCAAAGTCCTTGCCATTGAGCTGGCTGCACCTGACAACAGTGACTAAATCTAACCCTAGGTGAGACCAAGGAGACCTTTCTGATATGTACTGTACTGCATGTCTGTGAAGCAAGTCAAGAAAATCTGATGCCCAGGCTCAGCAGTGCCAGAGTTAGCTATTACACACAGCAGCACCATCAGCAAGGGACTGAGGTCACCACGGGTCTGGGATCACCTGCTGATGCTGCTGAGATGCTCAGCCTTTCCTCCCTTCCTCCTTTGTAACTGACTCCTAATCTCACTCTCCTGCGTGAGGTTAAGATATCGCTGAGTGTGTTGTTGAGTAAACAGCTTGTTTGTGGTAGTTCTATTAGACTTGAAAGGCAATATCACTGACTTGGATAAAAAGAGGTTTATATTTCATATAATAGAGGACACACATCACAATGTGCAGGCTGTTCATAATATATTGGTAGAATTGATCACAGGAACATCCAGACCTCTTAAACATGCACTAAATTTAACTTTAAAGCAATGCTAATTCAGGAGGAAAAAACAGTATGCATCATCTGTCCTCAATTTGATAGTCTGTGATATGTGTAACCAATTGTTCTTATTTACATTAATTTGCATTGTGAAAAGCAATTTTACAGTTTCAGTCAGACTTAATAGGCAATTTGCAGCTCAGTGCCTAATGGCGTAGTTACTTAAGCCTGCCCCCGGGGTGCTTTCTAGACCTGATATGAGACTAAACCTTTTAAATGTTCAATTGAACATCTTAAAAAGTCAAAAAGTCTTTAGCTATTAGACCCAGTTCATCCTTGCCTTGTCATATTTGATATTATTGCTGCAGATGCCCTTTGATTCATGTATGTTTTGCTCTAGATTGCAGAAATGGTGACTTAATGCTGCAAAACATGACAGGGATGGTTGGCTCCCACCGCCAGGCTGGCCGCGGGGAAGAAAGGTGAAGGTAAGGATGTCCTCGCCGCCCTTGCACCGCGGTGGTAATTGTGGTTCGGGGCATCTACCTGCATTTAATGGCTGACTTTTCACCAGGACCTCTCAAAACTTAATTACACATTTCCACGTTTATGAACGCATGAACTATCTCCTAAAGGTGYGATAAAATCTAAGCTTAAAAGAAGACAGAACGAAAGTTCTTAATTCATCACAATTTTGCCTTCAGGCGAGTTTATTCAAACCAAACTGAAAAATAAAATAGTCCACTTTTGGGGAATAAGTGTCATTGCAGGGGWTAGTGTGATTTTTAACACTTTTTGAGCACTACCTAAGAAAGGTTCTTTGCCCCATCAAGTAACATTAGGAGCTTGCCTTTTTTTTTTTTTTTTTATCAGTATCTTTTATCATTGAAGAGATCATCACGATCATCTTTTGCATTCAACTGTATCATTTCCAATGCATTTCCAGATGCTGAGATATTTGATTCTAATCTATGCTGCTATCGCATAGATATGTATGCACTATACAAAAGATTATGAAAATGTGTGAATGTTATTAGATTTCTGTCTTCTCTACTGTGATAAAGTAAATACAAGGCTTGCTAAATGCTTCTTTTTTTTTATGAGAAAAGAATATAGTGCCGTGCTGAAGTACTGTAATACCACTATTCTTCCTTTTTTTTTTTTTTAAGGAGGCAGCTGTTTTTTTCTGCAAGAGGGTTTTACTTCAAAAGCTATCACAATTCACTTCACAGTTATATACAAGAGAAGATCCAAGGAATTGCTGCACTTGTGTGCTATTTGGCATATCTTGCATTGGCAGCATTGTGCAGAGAGGGGGAAGATAGTCAGGGGAAGTTGTGTATCAAATCACTCCGTGTCATAATGCAAAAAGTCCCTTATCTACAACTAGCTCAAAGCATTTGAGGCTGTGAATATCCCAGTCAGCTTAGGAAAATATAACTAAAATAAGACTAAGCTCTTATACTGGTTTTCCACTAGATGTGGCTGGCTAGCATGAGGCCAGATGAGTTTTCTGGTGGCAGGCAGGTGGTGTAGGTAGTGTAGGCAATCTGTTATTGTCTATATTTGGACTTAAGAGTATCAGTGGTCTAACCTATTTTCAGTCTTAAAGATTTTTTATAATATATCTTTTTTTTTCTCACTGCGACATAATTAGAAAGTACAAAAGCTCAGACATCAAAGGGTCGGACCTTGAAGATAGGCTTTTAAAGTGGCATGTGTGGACATTTTTACAGCATTAGCATGAATCTTTCCTACTTATCTGAGATTCACTTGTAACATGGTTAATATTTTTAGGGAAATAGAAAAACTGACAACTATGACTGGGCACAGTGTGAAATGCGTTCCGTGGCTGATGGCAGCTGCATGTAGGGTGCCAAGAAGTCAACCTTCTTCTCTAGGTTCCTCCTCTGAGCATCCCAAAAGAAACCACAGCATGTGATAAAGGGCTATTGCCTGAGACACCCTGACCAAAGCAGGACTTGGTTTGCTCACTGTTTTTGTCCATACGTTTTAGAAGATACATGCAATTTGCAAACTGTCATTCAATATTATTCTGTTTCTCAGATATTGAGCAATACGTAAGTCCTGTCTTATGCAGTCCACTTTGTACATTTCAACATCTGTGCTTTTCAAAATTAGAAAAAGCCAAGGTAATGTTTAAGAAAAAATCACAATAATGGAAGATTCTGGATTAGTTGTATTCTYTTGCCTCTAAATGAATGATTGCCAAGGACAGCTTCTGGGTTGCTGTAGCATAGTCCAGACAAGAAGCTGTTTTTTAAGTTGTTTGTTAATGTTTAATAAACTGCAAGCTGCAGAAAAAAACCTCTTCTTACTAAGCTGGTGTTGTCATGCTGTTGTGAAGGCAGCGGACTGAATCCAACCCTTTTGGCCCTTGATCTCTTCCTCTTCCATTGAATCTTGCAAGATAAGTTCCCAAGTGGAGCTGTATCCCCTCTAGGCTCACGCTGGACACAAAAGGCATGGTTTAGAGCACGGAGCAGGATATTAGCCAATTAATGACTTGTGTGTTAATGACGGTGGTGTCAAAATGGGCAGCTGGGCAGACTGTGTGGCCTGGCACTGCCCAGGCCAGCGCGGGGGCTGCTGTGGGGACGAGGGCACCTCTGTGATGGCTCCGTCACAGCCCAACCACATGCCTAAGAATGATCATCAAGGCAAACTGGAAATCGTATGAAAGGCACGTTGTGCTTTAAATTGTTTTGCCAGCATTTG